ATTTGTTTATCCTAAGTAGATCTAAGTTTGTAACATTATACATCTATTTATTATTAAACTTTATTGTTTTATTACCCTTTGAACAGTGTCTAACTGCTATCCACATCATTATAAGTTGTAAATCACTCAGGGAACGTGCAGTTTACGTTACGCTATTGAATTACATTATCTACGAGCTGCTCACATGCGAGCCTTGTGAACCATTTTAATTACATTATAATTATTACTTATTTACCTAATCTAGTCTTAAATAACTTAAAAAGATCCATACTTTTAATTTTAGTTACTTTTATAATAATAAATAAAGAATAAATACATAAAGTACTTACCCAATCTTATTTTTTCTTGCCCTCGATTGTCGAGTAGAGTTGAGGCTGATTTTTTTTTTAGCGATTATAGTAAAGCACTTAACAATTTTTATTTACTAAAATAATATACCAAAGAATATAGACTAATAACATGCAAAATATAGACAAATTCAGTTACTTCTAAAAATTTTCCTGGCTTTGTAACTGTGCGACAAGAGCTGTTACAAATTCATCCAAGCTAGTCATTAACTTTCCCACAGGAACAGTGTTGCTACTCTGAGTGAAACTGATGATTATCTGTTCAGAACACAACGTTATAAATACATCATTTGACAGATGAAAACATTGACATTCTATTGGTTATAGGTAATATATAATGAAATGTAAGAGAGAACTATCAACCAATTGTGAAAGAGAGACTGTGGCAGGAGGGGTCTAATTTTCTATTTGATAGCTCTGTAACCAAACAAAATTGAAGGCTATAAAGATTATGGTTTGTTTGAGCAATAACAATTTTATAGAAAGTATTTGATGTTTAATTTCATACATTTTTGAGGGGTGATGGTTAAAATAGGGATGATGACATGCTAATACAAAATGTGTCACACTAGTGGAAATTCAATATATTTTTTTATATATTTCCTTGTAGAATTAAGAACTTAAAACTTGTATACTATTAAAATATGGATTATTAGCTATACTGATTGGTATAACATAAACAAAAAGTAGTTTAATAAAATTCTGAATGTAAGACACTAAAATCTTGTGTCACGAGCAGTAAAGGGTACCCGGGGCAATAGGGTTAATAGAGTTAATTGCCCAACTATTGCTGGATATAGTATTGGTGTAATGTGTTCTATTGTTCTATGGACTTTCTTTGGATTATTTTGTAAATTTGACTTGAAGTTCCATCTGCGTAATGATTACTTTATTTCTTCAACAACGTTTGCTACAGGCCACATTCCTTGAAGACCTAAATTAACAAATGTTATAATGGAATTTCTGATGCTAATGGTGCTATGCCTAAATTACTTATAAAATTTCCTCTAAAGCTAACTGATTAATAAGTAAACAACTTATTAAGTAACTAAATAGATGTGATAATTCTTACTATAACATTGATCTGAGTCAATCCTTGATTACCTGCCTTATTAGTTACTGTCTGCTTTATTTATAATGTACCCTTGTTTCTTTTTCCAGATAACACCATCATCATCATTATTAGCTTCCCTCGATCACACAAAGTAAATTAAATAATTGTAAACATAGCTTACAACATATTGTACTTGATTTAGTAATCACCTAGCAAGATTTACAAAAATGTATTTCAGATCATTTTAATTGAAGCTTCCTTTTTACTGTACTTTTAGGAATCCAACAAACATGTCTGTGCAAAATTCAAGTAAAACATTAAAGTGATGTTTTATATAAGTGAAATTATTACTTTTCAGGGTTATGCTTGGCCATTCTACAAACCTGTGGATGCAGAGCTCCTAGGTTTACATGACTATCATAAAGTAATCAAACAGCCTATGGATTTAGGAACTGTAAAGGTGTGTATATGTATATATTAGTAGTTCAGAAACAGTCAGTCAACTTAAAAATAGGGTAGTCAAAATGTATAAAATTCCAACTTACTTTCAACCTGAATTTAACTATTTTAATAAAAGCTGAAGATCACAGTAATTAGCAGTTTCAGTTTATTTTGTATTCCAAAATCTTATTTTTCATATGAATATGGTTTCTTGAACTTCCCAGTGTAAGAAGTAATTTAAATCTATATATTTTTTTAACTCTCTTGCCACAAGGTTGGTCGAATTGACCGACTTCCTAAAATTTAGTAGTCGTTATAGTTTCTGTACTATAACTTTTAATACAATATGTGTATCTTCACAAAATTTGGCAGAATTTAAGTAAACACTACAAGTGTTTTGTACACAAAAAAAATCAGTATTTTTACTAAAGATTTATCTGTGAATATATTGAGTCTTGTTTTTCTTTACTAGTCGAAGTGCAAAGTGATTTTCATGTTAAGATTAAAAATACTTTTCTTAGTTTCAAAAATCTCAAATTTAATTTTTGTAATCTATTCAGACGTTTTTCTTCAGTAAAACTATTATTTTATCTGTTATTTTCTCTACCCTAACACTAGAATATGATTGACCTCATAATCATAAGAAATAATTGAAATAAGTGTAAATTACCCCCATTTTCTTTCTGGAAGGACTCCAAATTGTAATATGATACTAAACTTGTTTATCCTAAATAGTTTGAAACTCATAACAGTATACACCTATTTATACTTAAATTCTATTGTCTTATTGCCCTTTGAACTGTGTCTAACTAATATTTGCTCCATATAAGCCGTAAATCACGTGACGAACGTGCAGCTCATGTTACTGTATTGAATTACACAATGTAAAGACTACTCATGAGCATTCCTCGTGAAAGTTGTTATTATTATTTACTTTATAAAACCTAAAAAAGTTTCCAATTTTTACATTTTAGTTATTTTTATAATATGCATGACACCTAACCCTACTTTTTTATACCAATGGTACTACTTAACTAAATATTTAAATCTAATTAAATAATGCACCAAATAACATGGTATAGTACCATAAATTAATAAAAAGGAGCTTATTAGCCCATCAAGGATGTCCCTTCCAGCTCCTAACTAT